AAAGGCACACTACGGGTATCTCTAAAAGTGTCTGTTGAGTTGGCACGAATCGAGACTGGGATTTGTCACTCCGTGTGACGGAGAGGTATCTCTGGGCCCACTCGGTAATGCATCATCATAATGAGCTCAATGTGACTAATGAGTTAGCCACGGGATCATGCATTACGGAACGAGTAAAGTGACTTGCCAGTAACGAGACTGAACGAGGTATGGGGATACCGACGATCGAATCTCGTGCAAGTAACATACCGATAGACAAAGGGAATTGTATACGGGATTGATTGAATCCCCGACATCGTGGTTCATCCGATGAGATCATCGTGGAACATGTGGGAGCCAATATGGGTATCCATATCCCGCTATTGGTTATTGGCCGGAGAGATGTCTCGGTCATGTCTGCATGGTTCCCGAACCCGTAGGGTCTACACACTTAAGGTTTGATGACGCTAGAGTTGTTATGGGAAATAGTATGTGGTTACCGAAGGTTGTTCGGAGTCCTGGATGAGATCCCGGACGTGACGAGGAATTCCGGAATGGTCCGGAGGTGAAGATCGATATATTGGACGAAGGGTATTGGAGTCCAGAATTGTTCCGGGGGTACCAGGTGACGACCAGCGTGTCCGAAAGTGGTTTCGGAGGCCCCAGCAAGCGTTGGGGGGCCTTATAGGCCAAGGGGAAAGGGGCACACCAGCCCACTAAGGGGCTGTGCGCCCCTCCCTCCCCATCTCATGTAACTTGGAGAGGTGGGGGCACCTCCCCTAGGGCAGCCACCCCTCCCGGCTTGGGGGCAAGTTTCCTAGGGGTGGGGGCGCCCAAACCCATCTAGGGTTTTCCCTGTGGCCGCCGCCCCTCCCCTAGGGAACCCTAGGGTGCCTCCTCCACCCCCCTTCACCCTATATATAGTGAGGGAGATAGAGGGCAGTGACACCCCTTCCCTGGAGCAGCCCCTCCCTCCTCCAACTCTTCCTTCTCCTCTGTAGAGCTTGGCAAAGCCCTGCAGGAATACCACAAGCTCCACCACCACGCCGTCGTGCTGCTGGAGTCCTCCCTCAACTTCTCCTCTCCCCTTGCTGGATCAAAAAGGAGGAGACGTCCCCGGGCTATACATGTGTTGAACGCGGAGGCGCCGTCCGTTCGGCGCTAGATCAGATCTTCCGCGATTTGAATCGCCGCGAGTACGACTCCATCAACCGTGTTCTTGTAACGCTTCCGCTTAGCGATCTTCAAGGGTATGAAGATGCACTCCTTCTCTCTCGTTGCTAGCATCTCCTAGATTGATCTTGGTGACACGTAGGAAAATTTTGAATTATTGCTACGTTTTCCCCAACACTCAATGCTTCTCGGCTTAACTTTAATCCGAAGGTGGTGGGGGATACAGACATCTGCAACCGTCTGGTCATAGTAATTAACGTGATCTTTCAGATTCTTTCCAAGGCGCACGCCATTAGTATGATACTTATACTCCCTTCGTCCCAAAATTCTTGTCTTAGATTTGTCTAAATACGGATGTATCTAGTTACATTTAGATACATCCGTATTTAGACAAATCTAAGACAAGAATTTTGGGACGGAGGGAGTAGTAGCTAGAGTTATCCATCCGAATCAGTGTGCCTTTATCCAAGGTAGACTAATTATGGATGGCGGTCTGGCCCTGCATGAAGTCATTCATAAGGTAATATTAAACTTTGAAAGGCGATCTTCTTCAAAATTGACTTCGAAAAGGCATATGATATGCTTAACCAGAACTTGCTTGGGGGAGCTTTGTAGCGCAAAGGATTTGACAATCGTTGGATCACCTGGATTATGCAGTTGGTAGGGATTGGGCACACGGTTGTGAAACATCATTGGAGAGATAGAGCCCTTCTTAAGCCAAGGGGATTGAGGCAAGGGGGTCCCTTATCTTTGTTTTTCTTCAAGCTTGTAGTCAATGCATTGGCCACAATCCTTGACTCGGTTAAGCACAGGGGTCGCTTGTGAGTGGTTGTATCGCACTTGATCGGTGGAGGTGGGATCTCGCATGTCAATATGCGAACAATACGATTCTCATGTTCGAGGCAACACAACTGGACATAATCAACCTGAAATTACGGTTGCCGTGCTTTGAAAAAAATTTGGGGGCTAGCGATTAATTTCCAAAGAGTGAGGTTTTAGTGATGTACATAATCAAGCCCCATTGGACTCCCCCCACCCGATCCAGATCACTTGAATCTGGATCCCATCTTCGCATTGACTCTGGCTAGCAAGTGCCCTGCTCCTGATGATGTGATGGAGGTGTTGCTCGGGGCCAGGCCCAACTCCTGGTGCACCATCGTTGACGGAGAGGATGAAGTGGGGTGGACCCCATTGTCGCTGCCGGCAGCCACTCTTGGTCTCGTCCCCTATGACGTGCAACTTCTGCCTTGCTCCAATGTCGGTTATGGGGATGGCGTTGCTATCTTGGTTCTGTAGTTGCCGATGGGTGAAGATGTCGAGTTCATGTCGAGTACTCCACTGACCATCGCCGAAGGCCACACTTCTGGCGCTGCAGTCATGGGGAAGTTGGCGCCGATGACAATGATTGCTGCTATGGATTGTGTGTTATCCACTTCATGTTGCTCTGGGTTGCCTACTAGTGATCTAGCAGTGGTTGTGGATGCTCTGCTTGGGGAAGGTCCTTGGATTTTTTTTGTGGGTCGAAAGTGTCATCCTCGTGTCCATGAGACTTGCAGCCAAACTCCCCAATCCTTTGCTTTTAAGGTTGCGAGGCTGGAGCAAGCCGGCGGCTTCAGACGAAGAACTCATGGTAGATGCTTCTGCTATTTGGCTCCAGGCCACAAGGCTTCCTCCTGCTGACCCGATTCAATTCCTAACATGTCTCCGCTGTGGGCGCCGTGAGAGGGACTGTTATCTTCACCTCTCCTTCGTCAAAGATCCTCATCGCCATGCGTGTGCCTCTCCAACTCCACCATGTCCATCCTCTGGTGGGCACTCTTGGACTTTCGTTGTTGCTCCTAGAATGCATGTTGAAGTCCTCGAGCCTGTGATGTTTGTTGAAGCTTCTGGTGGAGGTTGTGCTTAACATGAGGTTGTGGCAAATTCTAACGACTCTATGCTTGTTTCGACTAGTTTTGAACTTCAAATCATGATACAGTTGGCGCTCTGCCCTTTGCGCAAGCTTGAGGACTCTTTGTGTTGTGGTTAGCTTGTGCGACCAGCTTATTGGAGAGGACGGAGGCATCTGATAGTGTGCATGGGATGCTGGTGGCAAATCATGGAGACCAAGGTGTTGAGGACTTGGCGACACTAAGAGGCTGACGACTTTGGAGTTAGATGCACCGATGGTGGCCACAGAGTTCGGCCTAGCTAGTTCTACCCCCTCTGAAGTACGGGATGTTGCAAGGGATGTGCTTTTTGCGACAAGAGACGGTGACACTTTGCATGACTTCACCGAGTTGATCAAAGGCCTCATTGTCGTGCCTTCGATCACCCAGGGATTGAATCGCTTTGTCAAGGCAAAGAAGATCAAGAATGTCAACAAGTTAAATAAGTGCCGCCATGAGGGACAAGTCTATAAGATGTTAGTCGCCACTATATATATTTCTTTCTTGGTGCTTTTTATTTTAGGAGCAGTTGGTGTGAGGTTTTGTGGGTTGGCTTGTTGTGAGGTGCCATCCACGGTGTCCTTGTTGACTACTTGAGTATAGTGTGCGCTTGACCCTGATTGTATTGATTTTTGCCCCTTTTTCCAGCAATTAACTGGGCAACTATCTTCTTCTTAATGAAAAAGGCAAAGTTTTTGCCTCTGTTTCAAAAAGAAATTCAACCTTAGCTTTATTTTCGAAAGAAGAAAAAACAAGCTACATACTGTAACTTTGGATTGCACGCTCGTTGAAGAAATTTTCCCAGTTCAGTTCATAATGTCATGGAGCACATCCTGCTCTGTTTTTCCTACTGCTGAGGCTCAGGCTACTGTTGGGTATATTTTGAAGTACGAAAACAACATTTTGAAGCTTATTCTGCAACATGCCTTTTTTAATCTGTACTGCCCGTTATCTCCCCTTTCTCCGGAAAGGCAATGATGCTTCTTTTACAGGGATTATACCGCAATCATCACACGGACAGTAGCATCAACTTCTCCTGCTGACAAAGTGAGTCAACCTGCAGTACAAGCCGTTTAAGGCTTCAGCTAATTCCTTTCTCTAATTAATAACATGTCAAGTTGGGTTTCTTAGATCAAACCTGAAGGGAATCCGAAGCCAGGGGAGTTCTAAACCTGTCGAATGTGGACTACATGATCAATCAGTACAAATGTCATGCTGAACCATAGATGAGATGGAAAACTAACAATTACTTACCGTATCTTTCTAACCGGATCAACAATGCTTCAAAACAAATTTCGTGCTTCTGGACCCATTTGCCGTGCACTGCATACCGAAGTAACATGCCTGCAGACATTAGAAAGAGTTTCCTTGTGCTCGCAACGCCGACAAAGTGCCCCTGGAGGGAGCTGCATGCTAGGCAGGCGCCACGATTTTATTACTGCAGATAGTCAACCCCTGCGCAAATCTGGCAGACGTGTCAAATCTTCAGGAGTGTGAATGACCAGGCAGCCAATTGCCAAGAATATTCCGCCTCTGCCTGCAAAGGCGGCAACGCGTACGTACGTACGCACGCACAAGATCGCCATCGCAAGCATGGATCATGCTAAAGTTGGACGAGAGGCAGAGAAGAAATCAACCAGGAGCCGGCTAGCGAGCTAGCTTGCAGCCCACAGCCTTGCTGCGCACACTCCCTCCCTGCACTCCAGGCTTTTGCCGTGCAAATCAACCATGGGCAGGCATATGCATGCGCCGAGACGCCTTTGACTTTCGCCATTGCCGTCTAGCCCATACTATAAGCACTGCCCCTCCCTCCCTACAACCCCCATTTCCTTCCTCATAGAGCCACCTGCCGAGCCACAAGCCATCAGCAGCGCACTGCCACGACCCTAAGCTTTCCCCCTCCACCGCCACCCCACCACCATGGGGAGAGCCACCATGCTTCTCATGGCGCTGGCCCTCGCCACGATCACCGTCGCCCACGCCGCGCCTCCCGCGCTCCGGCGGAGCCGCTTCCTTGCGGACAAGCTCCCGCCGCCGCTGTCCTACTTCGACTGCGTCAGGAAGCCCCCGTCGGTGTGCCTGGAGCCCTTGAGCCCCGGGAAGACGTGCTGCAAGGGCACCTGCACCGACACGGAGTCCAGCGCTGAGCACTGCGGCAACTGCAACAGGAAGTGCAAGTACGGGGACACCTGCTGCGGCGGCAAGTGCGTCGACCTCCTCAAGGACCAGAAGAACTGCGGCGAGTGCTCCAACCAGTGCGCCAACTCCGTCAAGTGCGAGTTCGGCATGTGCGACTACGCGGGGTGATGCCGATCCGGCGACGCCGGCCATGCCCGCCATGCGTGCGTGCGGTGTGATCGGCGGCCACGCATATACAGTTCTGCACCCATCATGCATGACCAAGAAATAAATTCGGCAGTGCGTATATACTACGTGAGTGCATCTTAAGAAGTCCAAATTGTTTAAGGTATTTCGATTGTTGATCTCCTCGATCATATGTATACAAAAAAAAGGGTACAGATGATTTATACGTCCCTCTGTTCGTCTCATGATTTACGTGTTTTATTTGTTGGACTACATACTATAAATACAAAGTGGTCACGTGGTATTAATAAAGTGAATAATGTTGTAATGTGTTATACATATATGATTTTTTGGGTACCCGTAGCTCGATCAATACATATGTATATATGGATTCTTTTTATGTATACCGAATAGTGGAAACATTTCCAATGAATGTTTATTTGATTTAACAATCGATTCTGTGTATTTTACCTAGCTTGAATATTCTTTTTTTTCTGTATAGACTAGTAGGCATGTACATGCCATTCGCATTATTTGTACGACTGCTTACAAACTGCCAATTCATAGAACTGGTCTTAGTTAGGACCTAGGACGCGTACAAACGGGAAAGTACTTAACGTAGATGCCTCCCATGGTCAACTTAATCAACTCATTTGCATGTGGCATTTGCATTAGTACGTGACGTGTCTGTCCAGTGTCCACAACAGCCAAATCTGATACTAGTAATTTCCTAAGTACAGTATATACTATCATCACATGATTTCCAATTTTTTTTGAGGATTTTTTTTAAGAAACTGTAGGGTTTATCATCTTGGCCAGAGCAAAATATCAGGGCTTTAGCATAGGTGTATCCCGAATTTTAATTTAAGAAACATGCACCCGCAATATTTTGACTAGCATTTAACAACAACAAATATACACTTCTTCTATTTATTAGATTTACCGAATGGTTTTGTTTGTTTGTTCATTTTGAGGTCCTTATTTGCCTCCAATCTTTGTCTCCCGCTCGAAACCTTCTATTTTTCAATATTGTGGACAGAAATTTACAAAATGGACAGTACAACCTTATCTCACTTTTGCTGCTACACTGAAAAGTCGGTAGACTTAGCACATGAAAGATCACTTCCGCTATCATTATCCATGCAAATTTGGGCTAGTGATTACTGAATACTTACATGCATTGGTTTGTTATAAAGATGTTTCAATAATCCATCCAATCTAATTTCAGCTTGTCCATATTGTCTTCTTTTCAAGTTTAAAAGGCCCATGGTTATCTCTACATCGACAATTTTACCAACGTAACACGAGTTATATATCACACAAAAAAAAACCATTAGAAACTTCAAATACTATATTTTTCAATGATATAATTCCAACTTGTATTATATTGGTTGAATAATTATCGTTCTAGATATACACATGAGCATTAAAAACCAGAAAGGAGACCACTATCAACCTAGTGGATCATCGCACACTTGAGTGGCCTAAACACACCACATACATCAGCAATGCAAAACAAAAACAAATGGCCGAATTTTGCCGTTGTAGGAAGAAAGTCATGCAAAACGCTTTTTTGCAGCCAAGTTATGCAAATGTACTTTCAAGTACGTGATTGTAATCGTTGACCTGACACTTCCATCTTTCCTTCTCCACTATACGTTACGTTTTGCTACTTTGTGCTTATATAATTCCTCACAACTGTTCGTTTTGTGGGTAACTTTATTTTAGTGAAAGAAGGGGGAAAATAGTAGGAAGACGCTATTTATTTTTTAATTTCTTGTCTATTTTGCTACTCAAGGCGAATAAATGAAAATGCAACAACAACAAAATGTTATATTAGCTGCATGGACACGAGTTTGGGATTTTCTGCAATAATGCAAGTCGGTGTAATGTACGCGTGCGCAGTACTCCTAACTTCTGTACCCTGATTTGATAAAAAAAAATTAGTGTTGGGACAGCATTGAGAGAAATGTTTACGTGCGATGGCCTAGATGGGTCCCCGAATTGACCTGTGTGACACGCTTTACCATGCATGCATTGGCGCATGCACAAGCAATAGGCACATCGACCAGGGCGCATGCTGCTTCTCGAGCGTAGCGTGTAACGAACGACCGGCTATTAATCAAACCTCGTGATTGTTGATTAGGCGGATCTGGCTTGTGGAATGTACGTACAAAGGAACGGGCTAGCTACACGACCCATGCATGTGACGGGCAGCTACTCCAGCTAGCATATATCGGCCCCCTTTGTTTCAGCTTTGGAAGGCAGCTGTGGACCGGGAAAAACTGAAGCTGAAACAAACAGCTATTTTAGAGCAGCTGTAAAATCACAATCTAAAGCTGGTTTAGGCCATTTTCACTGTAACAGCTGAAAGCATGCCTCGGTGTACTTCAAAGTCAAATGATTCCCTAGCTCCTCTGTCCTTGGTGTTTAGTTATAATTATGTCATCAAGCCACCGCAGGCCTGAGAGCTGCCGGGGGCGCATATGAAGGGATAAGAACTCCTCGCCGCAGCCCCCGAATCGTCCCCGCTAGGGCGACTCCGGCGGCTCCTTACCCAGCCGCCGGGGGCGCATACTCCTTCCTTTCCACCCTCCGTCGCCACCGAAGGACGCCGCCGGTCTAAGCCCAGGGGCCGACGGCGGTGGCGGAGGACATCACCTCTCTCCTGTGGATCTGGGGTTGTGCGGAGCCCCGAATCATGTGGAGTCGCGTCAGATCCGATTGGCAACGGCGATGGCTGTGACACGGCGGCGTCGGAGGCGGCGCGGGCTGCGGGCCTGGCGGCTAGCCCTGTTCGGGCAGCGGCGGCGCCGCGGTCGGCAGCGCGCCATCTACCTTTGGATCGGTGACGGTAGCGTCATCGGCACCTCTTGTCAGATCTGTTCTGGCCGAGGCAGTCAGTGGTGGTGATCATCTCTTCCGTCAGAGGTGATCGGCCTGCGGCTGGGTGGCCGGATCTCGAGATTCGTCATCTAGTCCCGGCTACGAGTAGGGGAGACATAGTTGCCGGTGAAAACCGAGCCGTTGGCGGGCGATGGCGGCGTTTTGCGTTGTTACCTTGATGAAGGCATCGTCGTGTGACTGTTGTCGACCCACTCGTGCTGTTTCGGGGGAAACCCTAGGATCTGGTCTTCCAAATCGGACGATGGCGGTACTACGGTGTCGCCTCTCTCTTGGGAGCATCGTTTGTGGAGCAGCACTGGAAGACAGAGGTGAGAGGTGGAGCGGCTTCGCCTTGCACGGAGCTTCGATGGAGCTGTCAAGTCATACTTGTCCGACAGGTGCTACGCTGAGTCATGCCTGGTTGGCAGGTGTTACGCACGACAGATCTTCCAGAGTCTTCGTGTCTGGGCGGATGAGCGCAGGGCAGTGGCGCCGTTGGGCGCCGTGGTGGCGTCGACGGATGTCCGGACTAGCAAGGACGATGCGGATATCTCTCCTGAAGATGGGTCAGTGGTCCGATGATGATGACGGCTTCTAAAACGTGTGTGTGTGTGATGTACGCTTTAGGTAGGCTGCACCGGCTGTTGGTCCCGATACGTTATATGGATGAATCAGCGACAACACCGGTTTTAGATATGGGAAGTGAGAGCACTCCACATTATCGAGTTTGTAAGTGTGAGTGGTGGCTTCAGATGGATTGATGTATATTCTTGTCAGACCTTTGTGAAATAATTAATAAAGATGGCTACATGCATTGTTTGATGCAAAGGTCGGAGGTTTAACCTCCTTTTCTAAAAAAAGCCACCGCAGGCCTGGCTCTTTTTTTTTGAAATGAGGCAAACGATTTGCCATTTTCATTGAATAAGAAGAAGAGTATGGTTTAGTACATCATATCCCCGCCAAAGCGGAAGAAGGGCAAATGCCTACTTCCGCGGCATTAAATTACACAAATGTTTAGCGCCCGCCATAGCCTAGATAGGCGGTTCCTCCTTAATAGTTCGCACTATCACCGCCACAGGCGCCGCCTTGGCTCTGAACACACATGCATTTCACTCTTTCCAAAGCTCCCATCTTACAAGGTGGAGTACGGAGGCCAAGGCTCTCCTCAGGTGCGCAGTGTTGGCGAGAACTCCATCCCACCAAAACCTTACCGTGCCAAAGTTCAACCAATGGGCGGTATCTACTTCAAGGTGCAGACATGCAAGGACCTCCTTCCAGACCCGAATGGAGAAGCGGCACTTGAACAGGAGATGTGCCGCGGACTCTCACACTTGATTTGTAACATCCCAAATTTTCAATTTGGAATGTTATACATAAATCATTCATGCATATCATATTTTATTGCATTTCATTTCACGATCCTCGAAATTCTAAGCAACTCAAGGATCCTCGGAGAGAGTTGGGGATTTTCCTGTTTTCATATTTGGGTTTTATCAAATATTAAAACGAGGATCTTTGGTTTTAATTATTTTTCTCACCGAAAATATTTCATATTAAAATATATGAGAGGAGATAATATGACTTCTCCAAAATAAATGAAATATTGGAGAAAAAATATTAAAATCAAATATTTGATTTTATTCAGAGTTTATTGCTATTTTATTTGAATTAAAAAATTGCACGTTTTTCAAAGTTGCATTTTAGGGCAAAGAAAATGTTCATCTCGTTCTAAATATTTTAAACGGTGAATATTTGTTTTGGCATTTTTTAGTTTTTAATTTTATTTTATAGGATTTTTTAGTTTCGGCGAAATTATTTTAAAAAAAGTTTCCCTACGCCGACTGGGCCGAAGCCCAAGTCAGCCGGCCCACCTCCCCGCGCCGTCTCCTTCCAGGAAAACCGAAGCGCGCCGCCGCCCGCGAGGCCGAGTCCGGCCGGGACTCTCCCTCGGCGCGCCGCTTGCCCCCTCGCCCAAGCAAGCACCCCCTCCTATAAGTACCCCGCCCCACCCCCGATTTCCGCCACCATCGCCGCACCCCGCCGCAACCAGAGTCGCCCCGCGCCGCCCCGCCTTTGCCGCGCCGCC